TGACTTTCCTGCTCCTCTGATGCTGCCTGGCCTGCTGTGTTCATCCAGCTCCACACCTTGTTATCTCTATTTTAAACCCGCAATCTGTCCCCAGGTTCAATTTCTGATATCAGAAATATATCAGAAGAAGGGCCCAGATCCGAAATGTCAGCTTTCCTGCTTCTCTAATGCTGCCTGGTCTGCTGCGTTCATCCAGCTCCACACCTTGTTATCTCTATTTTAAACCTGCAATCTGTCCCCAGGTTCAGTTTCTGATATCAGAAATATACTTATAATACTTTAAATGAAAGATCCATGGACTTCCCCCACAGAAGAAATCCCCTGACTATTATTGACCAAACCTCCAGGCTGACCTTGGCCCATCCTCAGCCTGACTTGGCATTAACAGCCCCTACTGAGCATGGCCAATCCCCCAGGATTGATGTCTACATTTCCGCCTGACTCACTTAACTATAATCCCTCAACTGGTTGTCCTTGAGCTGCAGGAATGACCGACACCCCATCCCTGGACGCTGGTATGATCAAGCACCTGACTGACCTTGGTTAATCCTACTGGAACTGGACACACCTTGTGACTGACTGTGGTTGCTTTTCACCCCTTAAAGGACCCTTCCTCTTTGACTTTCACACATGACCATTTGATTGAAGTATGTGCAGTCTATTTGCCATGTAAACTGATGGCAGAAGAGGCTGAAGTCAGTGAGTGGATGTTAAGAAAGCAATCTTGGAATAGACATATATTGGTAGCTTCTATATTTAGCATAAATTGAGTGAACAGAAAATAAGCTATGAGCAAAAGAAGTATCCTGTGCAGATACATGAGATGTGTGTTTGTCTCTGCATGCAAAGCAACCCGACAACAGCATGCTGAGCCCCAAAGTGAAGCATTAAAGGGCTGAAATGGTGTAGAGAGTTGGTCCGAGAGTAGCCGTGATGGTGTGGTGAGGCTGGTTGTTCGCCGATGCCGAATTGCATGCACGTCGTTTCAAGGAGGATGGTGTCGTGTGTATGGCTGATGGTGGCCAGGCCGAGCATCTGGCGACTGCAGCCATTAGGTACCTGCTCTGACTTTCATGTTGGAGTTAGTGCCACTTAGTTTCTGAGGGAAGGAGAGGAGAATTGGAAGTGGTATAAAAATAAGGCGAGCTGTGCCATTAATACGATGCAAATGAATGAAAATGAGGTAGTCACCACTTAATGGTGAGATATGCAAGTTACAAACTAAGAATTGAGGGGAAAATCGCAAAAAGTTTCTTGAGATTCTGACTTTTTTTCATTCCCACCACATTTTTCCAACTTATTTCTATTTCACAACCCATGTCAGGGAGGGGAAATTTCTGCTCTATCTATTTTCTCAAATTGCTATTTGGAGGAGCTTGATATGTACACATGTACTGTTTACCTACATTACAACAGTGACTAACATCAAAATGTACCTCTTTGGCTATAAAGCATTTTGAAACATCCTGATATTGTGAAAGCAAGTAAGTCTTCCCTACTTTTAAAAAAAAATACTGGTTACATTTTCCAAGTTATTTTTCTTACCTTTTATTAAGTATAACTATTGTTTGAAGGTGGTCCAAGAAACACAAGGATTGGAGATTTCAGAAGACGAGGCAGACCTGGCTCTTAAAGCACATGTATGATTGTCATAAGGTAAGATGTCAACATTGGAAAAATTTGAACAAAATCTTACTTTCAAATCGTGCCAACTGCGGACTCAAAGTCGAGACAATGCAAACAAAATAGCTATCATAGAATATTAATGGGCACTTAAATACTGAAATTGGATTTAGGTCAAATTATCATTTCAGAGAAGTCTTTAATTTGTCAATTTCATGACAGCTTTACTTCCAGAATCCTAAAAGAGTCATCTGTCTCTATTGTGATGCTAATGCTATTGGTAAAGGACAGTCATCTCTTCTCTGTAACTGACAGATGTTGATTTTTTGAAATAAAACTCTACACACAAAAATCAAAAATAGAACAGCTTAAGCTACCAAAAATAGTAAGCTGTATCATTAAATCGGATTTTCTCCTATATGATTAAATGGTTACATTCGCTAATTTGTCTCTGAGTTCCACTCCCCTTAAGTATTGAAATGAGCTTTTTTGATCAGGTCAGCTGGATGCTGCAAACATCAGCCACTTTCATAGGTACAACCAATTCCATTTGCTGCGTTTGTTTTTTATGGGATATCTTGGTCGAGACAGTCAAAGCCATCATAACATGGTTGTAGCACAGAAGGAGCCCATTCAGTTCATGGTGTTTGTGCTGGTCCCCTGCAAAGTTTTCCCTTTTAGATATTAATCCCGTTCACTTTTGAAACCTTTAATTGACCCTGCATTCATGACCCTTTTGCAAATCCTAAGCACTCAACATATGGGCAAGTTTTACACATTTTGTCATTGCTTCTTTGGCAATAACCTTAAATCTGTGCCCTATCATTCACATTCCTTCCACCAGTGGGAATAATTTTTCCCTATCTACTTAGGAGAAGAGGAGTTTGAGAGAAGATTTCACAAAGAGAACGGTCCCAGCTTCTCAGTCTTTCCACATAACTGAAGTTCCTTATCCCTGGAATCAGTCTTATGAATCTTGTCTGCACCCTCTCTAAGGCCTTCACACCCTAAACTGTGTTGCCTGGGACTGGTTGCATTATTCCTTATGAGGCCAATCCAGTGTTTCATTTGGTTCAACATAACCAACTTGCTTTGGTGCTCCATGCCCCTACTAATAAAGCATGGAATGCATTTGCTTGATTAACAGCCCCAGGCAACTTGTTGGCTCACCTTCAGCGACTTATGTATATATACATCCCGGTCTCTTTTCTCCTGCACCCCTTTTAGTATTGTATCCTTATTTTGTATGGTCTCTCTCTGTTTTTCCTACCAAAATCACTGCAAAACAGTTTCACTGATCTTACAGAAAATTCTTTTGGTTCCTGTGTTTTAACTGATTTGTAATATGCTGACCTACATTATATTAAATATCATTATTTTGATGGTGTTGTGAACATGATATGCTGGCATGTTGAGGCTTACTTGAGTGATCAGGGTGACTCCCTGAATTGATTCTAGCACGGGACAATAGTACTCATGCCCTTAACTATTCACCTGATTACCAACAGCAGGACAATATTAAAATAGTTGCAGTACACTTCCCACAACTAGGACCGGACAAGGTCAAAACCTGTGCTGGCACAATCAGAAACTGGTAAAGAAGAATAGCAAAAAAATTTGGATTTGGAGATTACAAGGCACTATTTGAAGAAAGCTTGGGCTTTTCTCCCCAGAGATCAAAACCAATCTTTACAAACAGCAGCCATAGAGAAGAGGCACATGATCAGGTCATTACTTGTTGTTGGACCTTGCTGTGTATGAATTGGCTAATATCTTTCAAAGGCGCTTCAAAAGTACTTCATTGGCTATTAAAATGCTCTGGGGAGTTCAGGATTCTGAAAGGCACAATCTGAATGCAGGTTCTTCCTTGCTGGTGCTTGTTCGTTGTTCTTGACACCGCCGTTCTGGAGTTTGTGTCTGTTTTTAATAATCAGCATGTCCAAAGGGTGCAGCTGTAGATCACTGATGAGAACTGAGGTCTGTTGGAGTTGGCTTCAATGATTGTTAGAAACATAGAAAATGGGAGCAGGAGTATGCCATCCCACCCTTTGAGCCTACTCTGCCATTCAATATGATCATGGCTGATCATCTGACTCAGTTGTCAGTTCTCCCCATATCCCTTAATCCCTTCAGTCCAAGTGCTATTTCTAACTCCTTCTTGAAATCATACAATGTTTTGGCATCAACTCCTTTCCGTGGAAGTGACCTCTACAGGCTTAGCACTCTCTGGCTGAAGGAATTTCTCCTCATCTGAGTACGAGATGGTTTACCCTATATCCTTAGACTGTGACCCTGGTTCTGGACTTTGCGGTTTCCCCATTGGGAACATCTTTCCTGCATCTACCCTGCCTGTTAGAATTTTATGGCTTTCTCTGCGATCTCTCCCTGTTCTTCTGAACAGCATTGAATATTAATAGTAACTGAGAGGAAAACAAAGACGAAGAGAAATTGCACTTAAAGCTTCAATGGTTAACTATTATGAGTTCCCACAATCTTACAATGGCCCAGCAATAATGTTTGTTAACTCATAAGATTTTAAAAGTAGGATCATTTCTATTTGTACCATGGTATTTTAACACCTTGATTATCAACCAGGTGATCCAACAAGTAATGTTGCTTGATAATTTCGGAAAATGTAGACGAGAAGCGCAGAATTATGAAGGAGCTACTCTCCATCATTCATTTGATATGGGAAAGTTCTGACAGTAAGTTCCGTTTTATAGTGCTGAGCTATTTATTGTTTTCTGCTTTGATGTAGATCTCTGACAAGCATTTCACTATGTTGCTGAAGTATTTAAATGGGCTAAAGGGCAATGCTCGAGAGGTAACCATTCAGAAAGCTGAGGCTCTGATGAAGGAATTTGGAACTACAGGTAAATACTTTGCATGATCTACCTGTGACATTGCTGTAGATTTTTAATTACTCTTTCCATGAGATGCTTGTCTGTCAGAGATGGGTGAGGAACTCAGGACTGAGGAGTCTTCTCAACAGTTATGGACCAAACCATATTGGCACCTTACTGATCAATTCCTCTGACTCAGTTAGTTAGTGATTGGTAAGTCTGTGCAGGCAAGAGGTGGGAATGTTCTCAGAGGGCGATTGATCTCTGTTAGAGTTCAATCCTAGGAAAGGCCAGGGATGAGGAGCTTGGGTGGAGGTGTAGAGGCTTTGGGGTCATGGGAGTTGGGAGATCGGAAGTGTTGGTGGAGAAGGGTTGTCAGTGTTGCGACTTCATGGGTGAGATTGGTGGAGGATCCTCCTGCCACCCATAGGGTATTCTTAGGCAGGTATATTGGATGCAGGAGACGGGTGTAAAAGTATTCGCCACCACAGTCCAACAAGACCACACCTGGATGTAGCTACAGAGTTGTCTGTGGTCTAAAGCTGGAATAGGTTTGGGTAGTGAATTAGATTATTAAGACTTTAACACACTAGACTCCATCCAGCCTAACCCTCAAATGCATCCATTGCTTTGGTTAACATTCACCTATTTAATATGAGGCATGCCAATTTGCCACTTAAATAGTAACGTAAGAAACCGTGAGTGAGTCTGATGAAATGTCATTATTTTTACTTTAACTTTTATGCATCGCGTAACGATTCTTTTTATGGTTGAATTTTATAAAACAATCAATGTATTTAGCGTTATTAAATCTAACTGAATTCATGCTACATTGCACATTCTATGATACTTGCAGAATTTGCATTGTGAGTGTCTGGCAAAGTCTTTCTGTTGGATTGGAAACCAAACTTTTGACTCTGTCAGAAAGTACCTTGATGATCCATTGCCGAACAAAACCTAAGAGAATTAATAGATCAAAATCTCGGTATGACTCAACCACAATAATACCCATTGGGTCATGAAATATTAACCTCCACAGCTTTCATTTGTAAAGAGCCTGCTTTGATACTTTGCTGATGAAAAGCTTGTACATGTAAACAATCTTACAGTTCTATGAGTAAGGCTCTTAATATCTTCTAGTTATTTTCAAGATAATTACTGCAGTGGCAACGCTCGAAAAAATACTTCCAAAAACCCTAAAACACAATAAAGAAGATTATTTGCTCATTGTCACATTGCTGTTTCTGGGAGCTTGTTGTGTGCAAATTAATCATTGTGTTTCAAATAATACAACATTGACAACACTGCATTAGCATTATGACATTCAGAGACTGTGAAAGGAGAGCTACATAATTTGCAAGACTATCCTCCTTTGTTTCCTTCTTTTTTCTCTCTTTCTTACTTCTTTATTCCTCCTTTTCAAATATACTTAATTATTTTCATAGGCTGCTTTCCAGCAGCATGTTACATAAGAGACCTGTGTCGATTAAGAAATGCCTTACATGGTAGTGCTCTTTTGATTTGGAACTGCTTGGACAAGAAAGGGAAAGGGAGTATTTGGATTAAAGAATAAAATAATTATCTATTGAGCTCGTTAGGTTTCGAGTCTTTAAATTAATGTGTAACAAAGAAACATAATATTTGCCCATATGTTTTCACTTGAACAGATGATTGCACTGAAGACCGTTCTGCGAAAATTGAGCGAATACGGCAAGTCCTTCAGCTTTTGTCTTGAAGTTTTTCACAGGATTCATATCATTTTCTCCCTGCTCACAGCGCTGTTTAGCAGAGTTGCACAGATCACATTTACTCCAATTTTTCTACCACTGACCTTGGTTTGAGTTCCTTGCTGATGATTATTTTGTAAAATTCCATTTGTAATTTGTGATCATAATAAAATGTGTATTTTGTACAAAATGCCCCATGCGTAAAATAATACTTCACTGAAATGGTGGATATGCAAAAAGATAATAAAAGTCAGGAGTGTCAAAAAGATGAAGTGTAATTATGGTGAAAGAAACAGGACTCAATTTTTTTTTGTTTCATGCAACAAATCAACATGATTGTGACAACTTTCTTCAATTCCTGCTGGGCATTTAACCGGAGCAGTGAAGGATTATAGACAGAATCAATGAGAAATTAGGAGACGTTGGTATAACAGAATTAATATTTTGGGAACAAAGCTGCGTTTCTCTTTTGACATTCAATTAAGTCCATATAAGAAAGTTCCTGTGGTGTAATGTGGCAGTAGTGGAAGATACAAATCTGAACAGCAAAACTTGCTTGAGACCCTTTTAATATTTTCCCAGTCTTCACCATTTCCATCAGCAGTGTGTAAACAGTTGCTACATGTGTAGAGAGCTTGACTCTATCCTGTCAGCAAGACACAATGTACCAGCACTGGTATTAAATATAAGATGAATTATTAATGGACCTGATGTTTTTTTATCTCAAAAATACTGAAAGAAATATACAAAAATAATCTCAGGTCTTAGTCTCGTTTGATTCCATTTACAGAATGTCAGCTAGATTCATGTAGCAGCTGCTATGGCCCACTAAGCTATCCCTTCCATGTAGATATAATGCCCTCTTCTTCGACAGATTTCTAGAAATAAGTTTTGTGATCGGACCCTATTTTTTTTAAAGAAAAATAAAACATTTGAGCTCTGCTTAATTATTTCCCAATGAATCTCTGTCATCTCTGACTTGATCACTTTTCAATTCCCACTGATGTCACTGAAGGCTGCCACTGTACAGCTGAAGTGTAGGTGCATTCATATCCCAAGAGAACAATGTGTACATGTTTGTGTGTATGTGTGCATGTTAGACGTGTGCATTTATTTATGTTTTGATTGCTGTTCCCTCATAACTTCTCTGTGTAGAATAATATTGTCTAGTGCAAAAGGTTGTATTAATCAGACAGATAAATACAATAAACTTGAAAGTGGTACACTTTGTGATAGATTTTGGAGATATTCTAATATAGTATTTAGGCCTTACATTCTTAGCTGTAGTTGGGTTTGCTCCAATGGGATGTCTTGTCATTTAGTTTTTGACCTTTGTTCCAGCTGGTAAAGCTGGTCATCTAACTTACAATCTGAATAAATAACTGATGAAAGCATATCTTCATCTCGGGTAGATGTTTCGGTCAGACGGCAAGGTCTTCCCCTTAGGCCCAGTCAACTGTTCATTGTGCCAGCCCTTTCTCTTTGTAACGGCTGTTCAAACCCTCATATTCTGAAGAAAAACTCACTATAAGCCCACTGGGGCAAATGCAAGTTTCACAGAAGTGTGTATATTTTATTACACGGTTCTGTTGCAGACTTGTAAAGTTCTGTTCAGATAGTCCAGAAATATGTACAGTTGCTCATAGCAACTTTCATTTATATGACAGCTTTAAAGTAAAACGTCCCAAACTACTTCAAAGGAGTGTTACCAGGCAAAATTTAAGACTGAGTCACATCAGGAGAGGTGACCAATGGTTTGGTTACAGAGGTAGATTTAAGAAGTGTCTTAAAGGAAAAGAAAGAAACGTAGAAGCTTATAGAGGAATTGCCAGTGTTTACAGCTTAGACATCTGAAGGCATGTCTGCATTGCTGGAATGATTGAAATTGGGAATAGCAAGAGATCACAGTTGGAGGAGAATGAACATCTTAGAGGCTATGGACAAAGGGAAGGATGAAGCCATGGAGGTTATGCGAGAAACAGAGGGGCTGAAACAGGAGGGGCTGAAAGAGAGTGCGAGAAAGAGAGGAGCTGAAACAGAGTGCGGGAAACAGTGTGCGAGTGCACTCTGTTTCAGCCCCTCTGTTTCTCGCACCCTATTTCCACTTCTCGCGCTCTGTGATTCAACCGCTCCACTTCTCGTGCTCCGTTTCAGCTTCTCGTGCTCCCTTTTTCACACTTCGTTTCCTGCACTCTGTTTCTGCCCCTCTGTCTCGCACTGTGTTCCAACCCCTCTCTTTCACTCTCTGTATTTGAGCCCCTCTGTTTATCCCCTCTCCGGGTTAGGGTTAGGTGCAATAAGTCAGGGGTTAGTTTAAATGTTACATCTAAGTTAAGCCAGGTTTTATTTAATTGTCAGACTTTTCCTGGCTACTTGTTAACTACAGGAAATCTCTTCAAATTATGATTTAAATGGATACTTTCAAAGAGTTTCAGCCATAAGGGATCTTCACTTCCACTGACGCTTGCCTGATTCTGTTATGTCAGAACTCTGCAGGGTTGCATCATACGACTTCTTTGATGCACATTGCCATTAGTCAGAGATTAAGAATGAAACCAGAACCCAAATCATATAAATGTTGTATATCTAAATAAGTGAAGATAAATTAGTGCAAGTCCGACTTTTAAAAATGCTTTTGTGGTGTATGTTTTCACATTTACATTATGAAACAAAATGAAATGGTGTTTAGTTAATAATTGTGAAGGCATGTTAAGAATACAGATTTTTATTTAAAAGCCATAACAAACTGGAATACAGAACAATTTGGACATTGTTACTAAAAGGATTTCTTGTAACTGTTCAACAATAACGTGGACTGTAATTCACCCAGAATAAACTGAACGTCAAGTAACTTTGGAAAGAAGACAAACAATTCTTTGTTTGAGAGATGAGATCAGCTTTATTGCTTTATTTGCTGGAAAACTTGGTTTGGTAGAGATAGGGCCTAACAACATTCTTCTGTAGTTGGCATATTTTTCCAGTGGATACCTAGTTGTGTCAGTAGAAAAGACCTCCAAAACTCGCAATAAACAATACTCACTCCTGAAAAATAAGAAACCTTAAAAAGCAGGACTATCAGAAAGTATCTCTGGTAGCCTGAGAAAGTTCTGAATATTAGTCTCGGACTACTTCATCAGCCTTGAAAGCTGAACTGTTACTTCCATTCAAAAATCCAAGTCCAGCTGACTTTTCATCTAAACTGATCTGGTACGAAAAATCACTCATTGATTTTATGACTGTTAGCATTTTGACCTCATCAATAGGAAACTCTGAGAACCAAGAGAAGTCATTAGTTACTTCCTTTGAGTTTATGCCCTTAATCAAATGTTTTTTAAAACAAAAAAAAAGGAGGAAAAACATCTTTGCAAATGTATGAATTGGAATTAAAGATAGTCCAGATAATACAAACCCAATGACTGAAAACCCTGAAGCAAGAATCATACTATAGACCAATGAGCCAGCTGCCCCACTACCATCAAGAACTAAGACAACATATACCAGGAACACCAAACTTCTCTCTGAGCTACTCAGTCCCACCTAAGAACTGTTGTTCTTTCATGGTCATTGGGTCAAACTCCTGGAACACCACCTTATCACAATTGTGGATGTACCCATATGAAATGGACTGCGATGGTTCAGGGTAGCTTACCTCCACCTCTAAATGTGGCCACTAAGTGCTGATCCATTCAACAAAGTCCACATCTCCTGAATGAATACAGTGGGGCAGCACGATGGCTCAGTGGTTAGCACTGCTGCCTCAGTGCCAGGGACCTGCGTTCGATTCCAGCTTTGGGTGGCTGTCTGTGTGGAGTTTGCACATTCTCTCCATGTCTGCGTGGGTTTCCTCCCACAGTCCAAAGGTGTGCATGCTACGTGGAATGGCCATGCTAAATTGTCTGTAGTGCCCAGGGATGTGTGGGGGGGACAGATGGGATGCTCTTGGTGGGCCAAATGGCCTGTTGCCACGCTGTAGGAATTCTATGAAAATTTCTTATTTATGAGGTTTATGCTGCCTGCAAAGGTCAGACTCATACAGCATGGAAACAGACCCTTCGGTCCAACCAATCCATGCTGAACATAGTCCTAAACTAAAATAGTCCCACCTGCCTGCTCCTAACCCATATCTCTCCAAACCCTTCCTATTTATGTAATTATCCAAATGTCTTTTAAACACTGTTATTGTACCCACATCCACCACTTCCTCAGGACGTTCATTCCACACCCTGTGTTAAAAAAAAATTGCCCCTCGTCTTTCTTACATCTCTCCCTTCACCTTAATGTGCCCCCTGGTCTTGAAGTCCATCATCCTAGGGAAAAGACAACTACCATTAACCCTATCTATGTCTCTCATTATTCATGAACTTCTAAGGTCTTCAGCAGGGGCGATATGGATTTGTTGGGCCAAATGGTCTGTTTCTGCACTGTAGGGATTCTATGATTCTAACAGGTCACCTCTCAACCTCCTACACTCCAGTGAAATAAGCCCCAGCCTTTCTTCATAACTCAAACCTTCCACACCCAGCAATAATCTGGTAAACCTCTTCTGAATCCTCTCCAGCTAAATATCCTTCCTCTAACTGGGTGACCAGAACTGGACACAGAATTCCAGAAAAAGGCCTCAATGTCCTGTCCAACCTCAACATGACTTCTCAACTCCATTGCTCAGTCCTTGGAGTATAGAAGGCAAATATGCCAAACGCATTTTTAACCACTTGTCAGTATGTGACACAAACTTCAAAGAATTATGTACCTGCATCCCCAGGTCCTTCTGTTGTACAACACTACCCACGACCCTACCATTGATTGTATAAGCCCTACCCCTTGTTTGTTGTACCAAAATGCAATACGTCACATTTATCCAGATTGAACTCCATCTGCCATTATTTAGCCCATGGACCCATTTGATCAAGATTCCTCTGTAATCTTAGAAAAACTTTTTCACTGTCCACTATGCCACCAATTTTGGTGTCATCTGCAAACTTACTAACCATACCTTCTATATCCTCATTCAAATCATTTATATAAATGACAAACTA